TACAACGGCGCCATACATCAGGCTAACATATCAACCCCAAACGTGAAGGGCCCACTAGCATAGCTTAGCGTACAGACAGCAGAAGCTGACGGGCTGAATGCAGAAACGGGCTTGCTGGATTTTTTTTTTTTTTTTTTTTTTTGCGGAACCGGGGATTGAACTCAGGGCCTTGCACTTGCCAGGGAAGTGCTTATTCCACTGAGCCATAAGGGCTCATTGGATTTTAACATGCTAAGTAGTTTAAAGAACAGCAGCCGAAGCAGCAAGACTGCAGGAGATGAGAGCTCCAGCACGAGCCCACCTTGGGAAGGAAGCCCACTCTCTAAAGGTGCTGGATGCATGTTATTCTGAAGTGCACATGGAAGATTCATCAAGAAAGGCCGTATGCTGGGCTACGAAAAACCTCAAAGCACTGAAATCATACAGAATATTTTATAGCCACAACTACATTATGTTAATAAAAAAGATACCTGGAAAAATCTCTGAGGAGTTTGAAATGAAGCCACACACTACTAACTAACCCTAGACAAAGAAGAAATCATATAGGATCATGTTGGGTTTTTCCCCCTGCATTTAGGACAGGCTCTCCAGGATCTCCAGGGTCTCACTATGTAGATCGGACTCCTAGTGATTCTCCTGTTTTCAGTCTCCCAAGTGCTGGGATTACAGGTGTGCCACGCCTAGTCTCAATCACCGTCTCAGGGTACCCTGGGGGTGGGGCCAGCACAGCACGTCGGGATCGAACCCCACTCCCTGCAGCTGCCTAAGCAGGCACTTTAGTCTGCTGAGCTATCAGGCTGGCCCACAGAACATCTTCCATCTGACTCAGATTCTGCAACATCTCTACTTTGCAAAAAGGCTAAAAGTATTTAAAACGCATGGTTTTCTCGAGCCTAACAAGCCCACTTTTAAAAGGCCAAGTGACAAGAAGCCCAAGTGTCTCGATTCACCTTCACCCAGGCCTTTGTTCTCATGCTAGCAGTGTGACTGTGTTCTCCGACTTCTGCTTTATTTTTGGGTGGGCAAAGAAGGGACTAAGATAATATATGTAATGTTAGGAGAAAGCCAGCACAGGTCCTATCTCCTTTTAAGCTAAAGGTCCCTTGGCTCTGGGTAGGGGCAGAGGTGGTAATGGCCTGCCTGAGCCCAGCCTAAGTGCTCTGCTTCTGTAGGGAGCCCTTCACTCCAGCCCCACAGCTCAACAAGGTCTTCTCATGTTTTACGGATGGTGTTGTAAAGGTGGTGCCCCATGCCTGAAGCCACCCACTGTGTGAAGGTATTGGGGTTTGAACTCGAATCTACATTTTTTTTTGTTTGTTTTTGTTTGCATTTTTCTAGGGGTCTACAGGGTGTTCAGGGTCTTACTACTAGGTGGGACTCCTAGTGATCCACCTGTTTATAGCCTTCCAAGAGCTGGGATTACAGGTGCATACCACCACACCCAGTCTCAATTGCTGTCTCAGTGTGCCCCGGGGGCGGGGCCAGCATGGCAGGCCCCGGGAGCTAACCCCTGGTCCCTGTGCATGCTTGCAGGCGCTTTAATCCACTGAGCTCTTGGCCGGCCCTCTATTCTACATTCTTCCTTTTATGCTAAAAGTACTTGGACCCTGTCTGAATTTTGTTCTGATACACTTCTTAGGCACTTAACACTTGATTTTTTTATGCATTTAGTACAGGGGATAGAGTCTACAGGGTCTCACTATGTAGATTGGACTCATAATGATCCTCCTGTTTTTAGCCTCCCAAGTGCTAGGATTACAGGTGCATGCCACCATGCCTAGTCTCAATCACTATCTCAGCATGCCTTGGTGGTGGGGTTGGCACAGTATGCCAGGGATCGAACCCTGGCCGCTGAACTCCGACTAAGCAGGTGCTTTAGTCCACTGAGCTATTAGGCCGGCCCAATACTTGAATTTTATTCATATGCTGGTGATGTACAATTCATTCATCTTGGGGACCCGGTATTGCATCTGACTTTTACCCCCTCTCCCTTCCCGATCTCCCCTACCTGCCTCTACCTCCCACTTTGACAGGTTGGCCCTTCTGTTCTGCTCTGAGATGATATGAACAAATAACGTATTCAAAAGGTAAAAGCAGTTATTGAATGTAAACACTGCTGCTAGTTTCTGCTTCTTTCTGAACAGCTTTTGTTGCGAAGGTCTAACAGAGTACATAGTGTGCTTATCTTCTATGTATAGCTGACATGTGAACACACCATGCCATCACCCGATCAGGACCTAACGCACACCTGCCTCCCAGGTTTCTTTGCAGCTGGTGCACTTGCTCCTGTCCCGAGGCAGCTGCTAGTGTGACTTCAAGGCCACTTGGCGCTATCAGCTCAGAGCTCCCAGGTGCACACATGAAGCGTACTCGCTCAGCTCTGGCTCTCTCACTGAAGATGACATCTGCGAGATTCTTCTGTACACAGCAGTGCTCATTTTTGTGTCACCGCGACAGGGTTTGCGCTTCCTCAGTGTCCCATGCTTAGCTTCGTGAGGTATTGTTTCCTAACTACTGAGCAGGGGCCTGGGGAGCGTGCAGCCCGCCTCAGCCTCTGCTGACCAGGAGGGCAGGTTCTGCCAGAGCCTTCCCAGCCAAGGCTGCTGGCATGGCCTGCTCCCTGCAGCCTCGCGGTTCCCTTCTTTTGCGCACTCGTGTATCACCGCACTGGAGTGCGACAGCGTGGGGCGGGGGCTTTGGGAAACGTCTGCTCTTTAAGTTTCTTGCCAATGGTATGGTTGTAGCAGCACCGAGATGCCATCTCACTTTTGTTTTTTGATACCAGGAATCAAACTCACAACCACACGCTTGCCAGGCCAGCACTGTGCCACTGAACTATACCCCTGGCCCCATCTTACACTTTAAAAAGTAACAATTTATTTACAAAAGTGTATGCAGGGAAAGTTAAGCATTTACACTGAAGTACATGGAGGTGAAGAGCAGACACCCACGTGCCCCTGCAGGCAGGGCCATGGGGGCCTCCTGCCCCATGGGAGCTCAGCAGAGGGCCTGCGTGACCGACCTGCTCCTCATGCCAGGCTGCTTCCGCTTCTCCTCTTCACACAGATCCAGGGCAGCCAAGAAACCTGCCACCAGCTCCTGAGAGGCACAGCCTCCCCACGCCACGGCCTAGGCCTCTCCGGAGCTTGCTCGGAGGCCTGAACCCCTCACTCAAGGGCGGAGGGCCAGAAACCCCTTCTCGGCTCAGCACGTGGCCAGGCTATTTCCCCCAAGCAGCACCCTCTGCTTACTCCAGCAGCCCTGCATTCTCAGCCGCACTCGATGGCAACACATGAAGTCACAAGAAGGGCCTTTTTTCGGGCTGGCTCAGGCTGCCTTAAGGCCGTGTCTGGGGATCGAACCTTGGGCCTCTGTGCCTGACTGGGTTTGCCCAAGCAGGCGCTTAAACAATGGAGATAACCCCCAAGTCCCCAACATGTGATGCTGGTAAGTGCCTTGTTTTGGGAGAAAGTACCTCTACCTGGTTTACAGTGTAGTGCAAGAAGAGCGTAACCATCCCACCAGAACTGAAGGCAACAGTTATGTGACACTTTATTTTTTTTAATTTTTAAAACTGTATTTAGGACAGGGTCTACAGGGTTTCACCGCATAGATCTGACTCATACTGATCCTCCTGTATACAGCCTCCCAAGTGCAGGGATTACAGGCGTGTGCCACCACGCCCAGTCTCAATCCCCTTCTCAGGGTGCCCCAGGGGCAGGGCCAGCACGGCAGGCCTGAGGATTGAACTCCTGGCCCCTGCATCTGCCTAAGCAGGTGCTTTAATCTGCTGAGCTATTTGGCCGGTCCTACGTGACATTTTAAATGGACTTTTGCGTAGGAACTGAGGGCTTCAAGTCCTGGTTGTCCCAGGCCCGCAGACAGCAGCTGCCAGGACTCCAGGAACCCCAAGAGGCCACGCTCAGCCCCACCCAGAGGCGCAGTGGGCCCAGTCCTGGGGGAGACGAGCATGTAATGCCTGCCAGCATTCGCTGCGGTGGCCACCTCGGGGACAGCCGCAGCCACACACGGAGTCACGGCTCACCAGATCTGTGCGCCGCGCGGCATGGCTTATTTATGAGCGTCACAAAGGGCTATATGCAAAGCGCTCCCCAGTAAGCCGATGGCTCTCAGAAACTGCAAAATGAGCAACAAATGAGTTCGCAGCAGGGAGTGCATCTGATTCGAAATTTTAATCCACAGTAGCAACCAGAAGGACAGGCCAGAGGGCGGCGGCATTCTGACAGCGCTGGGCGGCGTGTATGGCACAAAACTTGGACTCCTCCTTTCTTTGGAGCAGGAGGAAGGGAGGGCGGGCGAGAGGAGGACGCGGGATTCCCAGCAGCGCTCACACAGGGACTCTGGCAGCAGCTTCCTGTCCTCCTTCAGAGCTGGCCTTAAGTGCGATGACCGAATCAGCAATCTGCAGAGTCAGGGCTATTCGCGGGGGTTTCAGTTAGCGATGAAAGCGGGGGCGAGGTGACCAGGCGGCCAGCTCCTCTCACTGCAGAGGGGGCGCTGTCGTGCAGGAGGTGCCAGGACCTGAGCCTGCCCTGGAGCAGCTGCGAGGAGCCCGGAGGAGACACAAAGGAAGCTAACAAGGTACATTTTTAAAGCAAAGTGATAAACTCCAGTGAATCAGGTCCCATGTAGTCTTTCAAGGAACAGACATGGACAGTAAAATTTTACACTCCGGAATGCAGTGTTGTACAATCACTAGCACATTCGTTTACAGAACTGCTGGGACAGTAGCTGCTCCAGAGTGAGAATTAAAAAATGTGTAAGCCAGCTCACGATGACTTAGATATTATATTAAAATACATTGTTAATCATAAAAATACTTTCTATGTACATGTACACTGTATAAACCCGAGGTCGCCTGCTGAGGAGGCCTGGCCGTGCTCCCCCTGCCCGGCAGCACCAGGGAGTGCTGGTCTCGGGCTCTCGGCCTCGCTGCCCGGGCCCCGGGCCCGCAGCCGCTCTCACGACCAGCAGGCGGCTCTGCGGCCGTCTAGCTGGCTGAGTCAGTCTTACTCCCACTGTACCTCACTCTCCTAAATGCTGATCCTGATCCCAGTAACTCTGGGCATTCACATAATTCATTTGCAATTTGGTTACACTTCAGAATAAGGCTGTAGTTCATTTCATCTGTTATTACGCTGTCTCGCTTGTAGTCAGGATGGTTTGCAACGAACTCCCTCATCCACTTGGCGACTGTCATTAGTTCTCCTAAAAAACAAACATTTTTGACACCATATCAAGCACGTTTTTAAAACCAGAACTGGCACTCAGTGGCCACCCTAAGCATCTGCCTATGAAGAAAATAGCCTGACCTGTCTGCAGCCACATGGCAGGGCCTGGGATAACATACCCTTCACAGTGCACGGGGACCCCTCCTGTGGACAGCAGGCACAACATGCCCATGCCCTCAGTGCTTAACGTGACCCCATGGGCTCACACAGCCACTGTGTCCTCACACGTGGCAGGAGAGCTAAGACGAGGCTCATAGGACCTCAGCATGATGAGTCACTGCCCACAGGGGTCGACAGGCCCAAGACCGGGCAGCAGCGAGCACAGTGAGCCAAGCAGGACTGGCAGCTGGACCACTGAGGAGTGGTCAGCTCTATGGCTGGGGTGAAGTCCTCACTACCGGCATGACTCTACTTTCATTAGCACCTGGTGTCCCCAGTTCCCAGTCCTGCGGCAAGCACTGCGAACATGACCTCTTCAGAGCTAACAGGCAAAGGCACCCGCAGGCCACCTGCGGCACACTGGCTCCACCGGCGGAGGCAGTGCCCTGTAAGACAGCTAGCAGGACGCACAAGGAGTGCAGGTGGGCTGCCAGATCCTGCATCAGTCTCCTCAGACGCCCACTGCATGCCGGCCTCTAAGGCAGTAAGAAGAAAATGATCTGCTCGCTCACACTGCAACCCTCCAAACTCGCCAGGCCTCTCCAGACAGGAGACAGGCGGGGACAGTTACGCGCACTGTGTGGCACACCGTGAAGGAAGCAGAAAGGCCACTGTACCGGACGCTCTCTTCTTAATTAGCTTCAGGTAGTTCATAATACTGCATCTGGTGTCCACGTCCACCTCCATGTTTTCCAGGTAAGAATTCAGGATGGGGATGAGTCCAGGAAAAACCCCCTCCTGCAAAAGGTGAGTGGACAGGTGGTGAGGCTGCGGGTGGCGCCGGGGCAGGGCGGGGCAGGCCTACCTTCCCATTGATGATGGTGTCTATGCTCATGAGCGTGTACTCCTCCGTGGCCAGCTCTGAGCCTCCACTGCCACCACAGCCACCACCGGACATCTTGCCACAGCCGTCCACCACTGCGTTGCCACCTGCGGGAAGGGCACAGGTGCTGCAGCAGCTGCTGGCAACAAAGACTGACCCTCAAATCCCAAGAGAGTGTTACCTTTGGAAATATCTTTCCTGAAATAAAACATTCCCTGTAAGACGGCATCTCGTTTCTGCGCTACTTTCATGTTTTCATCAACCTAAGGGAAGGAAAAGCCAGGCTAAGGTGGGGCACACAAGTTGGAAGCTGGAGGGTGGCACCTGCCTCAGTTCCCGGCCACTCCTCCTGCTGGATGTGCACGCTGCAGGCCACCCCAGCCAGACTGGCACATGCATGTGTGTGTAGGCCCCCCTGCAGGGGCAGTCTCTGTGCACGGCCCTCAGCCCTGACCCTTATATAAGGCGTCTGTGGCATGGAAAAGGAAGGGGAGGGGCTCTCTATACCCATTGGAGATCACAGGGCACCAGGGGTGGGGCACGGCCTGAGTCGGGGTCTCTGGACCACAGGGCAGTTCTATCCCTCCTGCCAGGGGCCTCTGGTGGCCTCACCTGGGAGAGGCAGGCCGGCCTAGGGCTGTGAGGCCCGAGTCCCCAGGGCTTGCTGATCACCTGTGGCTCTGGCCACTCAAGAGCCTGAAAACAGCCCTTTTGTGAGTTTGCCACCCACTCCTAGGACCCTTGACGCAGGCTGGGGAGGGGCCGGATAGACAGGAGGTGGTGGCCAGGAGAGCCCTGCTGCTGTCCACTTAGGACACAGCGCACTTCACAATGCTCGGGCACTTGCGCTGAACTCCAATGGGAGTCTAAAACTCAAGTCTACGCAGCTGGGGAGAGCTCGAAAGTTTTAACTGCCAGTGGAATTTGATTTTTGCTTAGTTTGACAAAAGTTCATAAAGACTACTGGCTTTAATTTGTGCTTTCATGACATCTTTCTGAGAAGCACGTTTCAGCCAGGCATGGTAGTGCACACGCACGGCCTGGCACTCGGGAGCGCGAGCAGGCGAGGTCAGCCTTGGGCTCAGCCCCACTGTAAGTAAAGCCCTGGCTCAGAACACCAATGCCCAAACCCAACCAAAATGCAAGGTGTTTTGCAACTGCTTCGGTGTACTTCAGACTTTTCCTTACAACTAAAAACTAAGGTTTTTCTCGAGAGGTGGGCTCCGTCAGCCTGCCACTGGCTTCCCTGCACAATCGC